CCTATGGGATTGTAGCCCATTAGGTGGAAGATTTCAAATGTGCAGTCTTCTGAAAAATCCTACGTCCTGCTGGGCTGTTGCAAGCAGGGTGAGAGGCTGGTGGAGTTGATTTTCCCCATTATAAAAAATAAAAAATAGATGAGCTCTGAAAGCCATCTAGCTTACTTACTGACAGTGAGTGAGAATATACAATGGAGATGTCATAGGATACTTCAGATCCTGGCCTTTAATCTTCCAGTCCCTCTTTTGATTATTTCTGAAAATACCTACCTATCTTTGCAACCTTGAAAGCAGGCACTGTAGTTCTTTCCAGGGTGGCTTCATAGGAAGGGAAACTGGATCTCAAAATGCCTTCCAGGGTAATAGGGGTGCCTACAGGCTCAGGATATCTCCAATATCTCATGTACTCCAAAATATCCTGTGGTTGGTCCTGGAATGATCTCCCAGGGACAATGGGATTATTTGTTTAAGCAATGTCAGTATTTTGAAAAAAACAAAGGTAATAATACCAGATCAAGTTTCCTATAAAGAGCCAATGTGGTGCACTGATTAAGAATGCTGGACTGGGACTCAGGAGTTCTGAGTTCTAGTTCGCACTCGGCCATGGAACTAACTGGTATAGTCTCAGCCTACCTCACAAGGTTGTTGTGGTGAGGATAAGGATTAGACGAGGAGACTCATGTAAGCCAGCTTGAATTCCTTGAAAGCAAAAAGGCAAGATATAAATATAATAAACAGTGCTATTAGTATGAATAAATCCTATTTATGTTCTTGTCTGCAGTAAGCATTTTGGTAGCTTCTTGGTACTTCTAATCCAAGCAGGTGCTTTAACTGTAAAATGACAGTTAAAATGTTACCAGAAAACATTCTACACTAAATAAATGGGAAATACCCTTGGACCATGGTCCAACTCTTGTTGATTTTTTTGAAAAAAGCAATTCAGTACTATCAGTCACATCAGAAGATGGAAAGGAAGGTTTATTTTAAAATAGGTATTCAAATGTGTTTTCTACTGAAAGCAATGCCATGTAGAAAGAAGGAATATGGATATGAAAGTCCCTTTTGATACTCTATGCTTAACATCCATGGTTAGTAATCCAGCAAGTAAATTGCAGATGAACTGCATAGTTCTGGGGTCTTCAATATGGTGTCCATGGGCCTCAATTTAATCAGGGACACATTTTTGCTGTACTCCAGCCTCTCCATGCCTCCTTTTTAAAGACTGTTTATTGTAATTGGGAGGCTGGCTTTCTGCAAAATAATGTGCTGTCCTCTAGAGCCATTTTTATATGGTTTCCAAAGAACGGATTTGTGTTTTAGAGTTCAGTCCGCACCTCTGCTGACACTATTCATTTATTTTCAATTGGGTTTGTGGGAAATTGCTCACTATGTATTGGGAAAGCTCCCCAATGGCAGCTGTTTTGTAAGATTGCCCTTGACATTCTCAAAATTCCAAATATGCCCACTGACCCAAAAAGTTCAGGTAAAAACACTGTTATAGTTATATTACATCTGTCTCTTGATGAAAAATATAATGCATCCGGGGTTGGACAGAGAGAAGACAAATATGTAATAGTTAAATCTGCCACAGTTATTGTTTCTCTTATGTTTTCATGTGTTTCATGAAATGAGTTCTTGGCCACAAAAACTAATGCCACAGTAATAGTGCAATCTTGTGCATGTCTACTCAGTTCTATTGAGTTAAATGGAAGTTACTCCCAGGTAAGTGTGTATGTTTGTAGGCTAAATCTGCTAAAGATTAGATTAGATTAGATACAGGTCTGAGAAAGGATTGAAATGTAAACTATGAACAGAGTTACAATATAGGCATGAACCTGTTACTTCATCTTTCCAATTTTTCTCTCATTTCAAAATAAATATTTTAATTCCATTGGTGGAAGACCAAGAACATAATCTTAACTGGGTTGGGGATCAAGTTTTATGAATCCTTTCAGACTTTATGTACACTCTTTATATTGTTCATTTAAATAAAACTTGGCAATCAGTAAATTTATAATGTGACAATTACCAAAGTAAAATTATTTGAAATAATCCTAAATCATGGTCACATTGTTTAACAGATTCAGGCAATACTTATCAGCCAGATGGTCCCTCAGATGCTGATTTTTGGAAGGGTCCTCCACAGGAGATAGAAGAAAAAACATGGTGAGTCCTCAGTCTAATAACTTTTTCTATTTTAAAAAGATTATCACTTTTGGATTTAGATGTTAATTTTCCTCAACTTTGATAACCTGGATTTAAAACCTGATTTAGGTTCTCACTCTGCTCCAACAGATTGCCTTCCCTCTTCTCACTGTACTCATACCTGTACTGTGAACTTTATATTGATATTGTTAGCCACTTAGTGAGTCCTGTCAGGGTACTGAGCAGCATAAAAATGTGAAAATAAATAACGTTTATAGTGAAATTTTATGGGCAAAACCCCACCAGTATAATCCCTCAGAGAAATAAGAACCTGAACCCTAATTTGTGACATTGAGAAGAAAGCGTTTAAAATATGAAATACAAATTTCTCTTTAAGCTGTTTGAGTATGTACAATCACTTGCAGGTATGAGGAAAGTCATATCAAATTTGTTTGGTTTATATTGGGCTTTGTTATATTGAAGGAAAAAGGTGACTAATAACCTGAGCCTAAGTACATTCAGGCAGAAGTAAGTTCCACTGAGTTCATAGTTATTTATCTCTTGGTAAGTATCTTCAGGGACACAGATATGATTGCTGCTACTTTTAAAAACATATGCATTTTTTCTGTTTTCAAGAAGAGCAATCTATGCTATAGACCTCTTTCCCCTTGTTACAAACATTAGTAGAATAAAACTGTAAAACCTGCTCAAAGCCTAAAGAGTGTAAAGAATAGGCTAATTGTTCAGCCAGTGCGAGTGACTGCTTCTGGGAAGAGAACAGAGGGAAGCCAGGAATTGATGTCTGAATAGTGCAGCAAGACTTGTTGGCCCTAATGAGTGGAGGAAATAACATTTGGTGGCAAAATTATGAGAGTCAGCATAGCATCTCCCAGCCTTCCTAAAGTTGTTCTGCTTTTCACTGTTCAGATACTATTTTTTGCAACTAGATAGCATATTTGATTGTTTGAACACTACTGGTGCTGTTATTGGCATTAGTAGTATCTGCTTTCAGGATTGGCAAAATCTTTGCGATAATGTTACACTCTGGTAATTTTGTAACCCTGCACTTGCATAGCAATATGCTCATGCAAAGCAACTGTTGGTCACACAGTCCCTGCCACCACACCTGTGAAACTAGGCTGCCAAATGCTTGTAAACAGAAATGAGCGCAGGTTCTTAACAGTTAATCTTATGAGTATTTTGTTTTTATTTCACAGGGAAGAAGAATTTGATGAATACTTTCAAGATCTGTTTCTCTAAAATGTGATGTTGAACTCTGAAAGCTTGCAAAGCGTCAGAATCTGTAAATAATTATCAGGCTTTCATACATCATATGCTTGCTTGCTTTTGTTTTTTGATAGTGAAGTGATATAGTAACATCACATTTGGTTTTAAATGCAAAGTTACTGTACCACTTCACTATGTATACTTTGAGTAAATCTACTTGTGCATTTATGTACTTTCCAGGGTTTCCAATCCAGTTAGCAGTGAATGGATGGTAATCTTGCTTTACAGTGTAAAGTGTAATTCTGAGCATGCAACAAGAAAAAAGCACACAAAAAATTGACTCTTCCCTCTCTACAATTCAAATTGCAGCATAATTTGAACCTATTTTACCGTATGTCTCTTTATAATATGCACAAAACAAGGACATTGTTTAGTTCCCAAGTCATGGGAAATCAGAAGGGGTTTTTATTGGAATATTCTTGAAGTAAAGTTGCTGTTCTCCATCTGAGAAAACACAATGGTATATAAAGTCCTTATTTTAAGAGTGGGCACTTGGATATACCATGTAATAAAAGATCTGAAATTTTTAAAAACCTCACCTTTAATTTAACATATTCATAAACAAGTTTTTACATCCACAAATGACAGTACCTCCTTCTGCACAATGAATGTTTCTAAAAAAATTACATTTCCCACAATCCATGCATACAGAAAAGATTGTATAGAGAGAAATATTAAAAGTGTTCTTGAATACTAAAGAAATGTAGCCTTTTGTAAGGGAAGGATTCTTTAGGTAAGGGGGTGGATTTAAAGGTTAATTCTTTGTCATCTTGCAAGCTTCATTGGGAGTTAAATCCAATAAAAGCAATCAGCTTATATTTGTGTAACTTGCCTTTACAAGAATCCATTGCTATATCTGTCATTCCAAAAACTGTAAAATGTCTGCTGTGAATGACTAATTTGCTTTAAGATCCTTACAATGCCATTATAAAAAGGTACTGTACATGATTAATATGCTGAATTTTGTTTAATACAAAGATTTTGATTAACAGCACACTTAGTGTAAATCTATGTATAGCGCTATATATAGCACAGAAATGTATTTATATAATTTTATGGCATTTTAAAAGTCTGCACAAAATATTTGGCCCAGTAATCAAGGATAAAACAAAATAGAAATTTAATACATCACTATATAATTTGGTTATTCATACACATTTTCTCTCAACATTCTTAGAAGCATTTTTGTACCATATTGGAAGTGCATGTGAGAAGGTACTATGCAATTTTATTTCATCACTGTTCTAAAGGTATTTGGAGATAGATAATGGCAAACTTACACTCCAGTCCTGTACATGTATATTCAGAATAAACTCCCACTGAATTCAGTAGATCATAATTCCAGATAATCGGGTATAGGCTTGCACCATTAATGAAGTATTTTATATTGATGTGGTTGAGCATCATAGTTATAACACATTCTGAAAAGTTATTGCAGTCTTGTTTTAAAACCATAACCCTTGTGCACTGCAGATAAGTATACATGAGACAAACATTTGTCTTCATGAAACATCTTTTCCTTGTCTTTGTCATGTCCTACCTGGAGAAGGAATCTTCAGATGAAGAGTGGCCAGCACAGTGGGAGCCAGCCACAGTCGGAGAAATGGACTGAGACTACAACTTGACTGCCTTCCATTAGCGGAGCAGCCAGGACCCTCTTGGGCAGTCCCTGGATTTCCCTAAGGGTAGAAGCCAAAGTCAGAAGGAATTCCCCTCATAGGAAGGAGGAGTTGACAGATCCCTCAGAAGTCCAAGCAGCAGGCTGAGTGTGGAATCTCCTGTAAAACAGCACACTGACCTAATTAGCCAGCTGTGCTGATGTACAGCTGGCCATAAATTAGATCAGCCAGAGTCTGCTCTTCGTGGGAAACAACAAGAATTGTTATCACTGTGTTTGGCTTTAAGACTACTCAGATTCCCAGACTTTCAGCTTGCTTCTTGGACATTCTTTTGGATACCCCTGCCTTTGGATGCACAAACCGTACAGCCTTGTCCTTTGACTATTTCTTGAAAGGTAACATGGAGATTTGGCATTTGTGCGCACAGAGCAGAACAAGCCTGTTGTCCTAAGCAGACTCTGAAAAGATCCACTAATATAGATTGGATGGTAAGTCCATGTAGAAAACATTTCTTCCATTACTGACCACTTGTATAGATTTCATGGGAGATGAAATAGCCAATATTGAACATCATTCTTCAGGTATTTTCCTGTTGTTTGTGGGAGCAGGATTTCAAGGACAAATTCCACCACCTTGTGATTTTTCATTTGAGCCATAAACATGGACATCATATAGAAATCCCTCAGAATGACTACAGCTCCCCAATTCATATATACATACAAGTTTTCTGTATTTATCTGGAGTTCCCCTGTTAGTAGTACCTTGGCTGACATGCAGCTTCTGAAGCTGCTTTTCAGAAAAGCACAGCTGGTGACAGGGAAAACTAGGCAGTGAAAAAGCTGCATTCAGGGATTCTAGAGTATGGGAAGGGTAGGACTGGACTGGGAGAGGTTTTGATTTTACATTGAGTGTGTGCTGTTGCTAGTTCAAAGACTGAACTGTTAATGGGGCAGGGGGAGAAGTGATAGTGGTTTTTTTGTTTTGTTTTGTTCTGGCAACTGTCCTTGCATAGTAATTTGGTATATAGACAGTATTCCTTATGTTACCTTTGTTACTTCAGCAGCACTAATGGGAGTCACCATATCAGTGTCACTCTTCCCCAAAATAGGGCAAATACTGAAGTGGGGATGAACCACAGCATGGATTATTTCCATGTGGTCCAGGGTTTCTGATGTTATTTCTCTCTATAAGGTGGGAAAGGGACACTCAGTTGTGACTTCCATGCCATAATAATAATGTGAGTTAATGTGCAAGTGTGCCTACCGTTTTTTCCATAGGATGTCATAAACCCATTTATACAAAATAGTGGACACAGATCTACCATCTCCCCTGAAATGACAAGGACAATTGTGGGTGGGTGAGCATGGTGTATGTATGCTTAGAAAATCATTGGCTCAATAATTCAGTAAAAATAAGGTTAAACTTTAAAATATTTGCTAAATTATTTTTGAGAGAACATTGTGTCTGTGTCGTTCCTAACAGCTCAACAGTCTGGCATAAGAGACAAAATGCTAAAAATTGCAATGTTCAGCTTGTTGTAATAAGTGGCTTTTCAAACCTTTTGTAGGAATAGTTGAAGTCTGTGGGTCATTTGACTCAGTAAAACCTCTGCTTCTGTGAGGTCAAATGGCTTCTCTTTTTAAATAGCTTTTAAACATATACTAGAATCATTTGTTTCACTTTAATTTCTGCATAATAATAATGGATTAAAAACATCTAATACTTTTAGAAGCTAATTTTGTGCATTTTATTATACTCTTCTGTGTATTGTCACATTGAGCCCACTGTGTGCAGGCATAAAAGACAGACAAACATGGTGCTTCCTTGCTAATAATAACCAATGCAAATAGAAATGACTATAGAATTTGATAGGGAAATCTATTCCATCTGCAATTCGCAGTGTCTCGGGGGCTTTTTGCTCTCTTGTCCACTTACTGATTGAATCAGAGTTTGTGCAAATGCTTTATTTTTATTTTTATTTTTGGCATCTATGGAAATTTGCATTTTGGAAAATGCACAAACTTCCTCAAATATGCATCTGTGAATTTTAGTTTAAGGGGGAAAATGCCCATTTCCAGTCAGTATTTTTCTAATATTAAAACTGAATAAGAGTTCAGAAAGTCCAAAAAAAGATCTTGTCTGCAAGTCCATGGAATCTATGCAGCTCAGGAACATCTGATCTGCTGTGAAAACTACAGGTAAATTCATGAAAATTAAACACATATGAATCCATCACAGATATCACCAGTATCCATATGCACCTTACAATTATATTTGGGATACTCAAATCAACCAGTGGAGTGGAAGTAGTTCTATGTCATTTCACAGAGCACATACCTGAAGATCTAGGGGTGTGAGTTGGGAGTAGCACAAAACCTACTGTGGGTTGTGCATCTTCCAACAGTTCATTTCATCAGCCAGTATTGGCAAGGGGTTCCCTACTGGGTAGTGGCTTGCACTGTAAAAGGGTTGGTTCATATCTGATTGGAACACGACTTGTATCTTTTTCAGAATTTGGGAAAACCAAATGGTACTTTAAAAGATACTATAAGAGCGTGTGTGACCTGCAGTTCCTGTTTTCCCCAGTTATCCTGGAATAAGGTAGTTTGACAATTACAGATTAAACAAAAAACACATTTTGCATTGTGCTAGATTTTGTAAAGTTTAGCATGTTATTTCTTATATTAATCAGTTTGTTCTCTCAAAAACAATTTCTTTAAAAAATATTTTAAAGTTTCCAAATGTTTTTGTGGTCTTTTCTGTACCAGAAGATGTGTGTGCAGTAAGCCTTTTTGAGGCACAGATCTGATGCTAGAATTACAACTACTAAAATGATATGTGCTATAAATTTATTAGGAACAGTTACAGGGGAAGAATGTAAATCATTGTAAATGAAGGAACTAAATATAAAACCTATTTCTATACATTAGTTAATTATGGTGTTACAAGTTGTGCAACATTGAGCTTATATGAAATTGATTGAAAGTAATGTAAAAGTCATAATTCCCTGACAGTTTGCAGCTTTACATAAATAAAAAACACCCCATATAAATTGAGGATGACAGCAACCAAAGAAATTAACCCATAATCCATTCTTCCAGCATAATTTCAGATTATATTCCATCTATTCTTCATAATTTCTGTTCTCACCAAGTGCTATCACTTTTAATTCCATTAGTAACAGCAGATGTGGAAGGACTGAACAGTCTATGCTACTTTATGCTTTATAGAAATCCTTGGGTTCACTGAAAATCTTCCTAGATTTCTTCCAGTGTAGCAGAAATACAGTCCTTGAATATTTTTGTGCCACTTGAATTATAAAATTGTGCATGTTTTTGATTTGCCTTCTTCACCACCACCACCACCACCACCACCACCTCCTCTGCCGCCACCGCCGCCGCCACCACCTGCTGCTGCTGCTTCAGCTAATAAAAAGCAAAAAAAGTGTTAAGGTGAGATGTTGGTTTATTTTAATAGCATGCAGTAAGTACTTGAGGAATGTTTACTTCGCAGCATGAAGAGTATGTGTGTTTGACCTTTTGAAAACTCAGTATTTCAGCAATTTTGCATTCTCCGCAATTTTGCAATATTATAAACTAGGTAATATTATCATATGGTATGATGGCTGGTAAAAACACTTCACAAAGGACAAACACACACTGAACCACTTTGACTGGAAAGTTTCAGCAACTAGGTATATTATACACAAAGTGTAGTTGGTTGAAGGTCTCAAAATAGAAAATAAAGCCTCAGGTCAGTATTCCTCCAGTCTGGGAGGGAAACTGGTAATTTTTTTTCCCAAAATATGGCTAATATTTAAAAACAATGCTAAAAGTCCAGTGGCAAATTGAGACATTTTTTTCTAGTGTTTGTGTTTTTCAAATGATTCCACAGGTTTTTATTTTTTGTAATTTGTATTTTTGTGGTAGAGCAAATTTTTGCTTTCTGGTTCATTTAAATTAACATACCAAGATTAGAATTAAAACTTACATTTGAAAGGTGTGGATCACCATGTTACTAGGTTATTTTCGACCTTTGCCACCTGCATTGAAACATGTCACATGATCAGTGGCTCACTCACTCACTGGAATGCTTAGATATAGTTAACAGTATGGTATTCAAAATACTGATTTTAATTTTGTAATATCTCATATCATCCTGTTTATTTTCTTTTCTGAACTTTCCACTGTAGTGGTTCAGCAAATGTATTTTGTTTAATTTCGAAAGTCAAAATATGCAGTATATAATTACAGGATTGATAAATGGATGGATTGATTTCTATATTGCCTCACAGCTGAAGCTCTCTGGGCAATTTAATAGTCCATAGAACAGATAATAAAGGTACAATAAAATATTATAAAATCAGAAAAATATTAAAAAATTAAAGCAGATAAACAAGAACAAGTAATAAAAAAGAGAGGTGAGGAAACGAGAGAAAGACTCCAGAAAAGACTCTATGATGGCTGAACATAACATTAAAAGCCTCAGAAAAGAGGGCCTTTTTAACCTGGTGTTGAAAAGATAGCAGGTCCAATGTACGCAGGACCACAGGTGAGGAAGTTATTGCATAGATGGGGGTGCCACCACCAAGAAAGCCTTCCCCCTTGTTGCCACCCTCCACACCTTCCTCTGAGGTAGCACTCGGAGGAAGGCCCCAGAGGTTGAACTGGTAGTGTTCTGGTAGAGGTGCCCCAACAGGTATTGTGATCCTAAACCATGTAAGACTTCATAGCACCTTGAATTGGGATTGGAAGCATACAGATATGTATATAAGACATCATAACTAGATAGTTCAAAGATGTGAATGTGTAAAAATGTGTAAATATAACACTTGATACAAGTCATGTATTGAACTCAATGGCAAACCTCACAGAGGTTACTTTATGGTTTTAGATTGTAGCATTGTTTCAGTGATGCAATTCAGGAACCCTCACATACATATATAGAAGAAATTTCTGACTTGTGTCACTGATAACATCCTCAGCAGAAATTGGAGGAATTTGCTATCCTTAATTTGACTCTAACCAACAGAGATGATCTGATGGATAAAGTTAAAGGAACTGTGTGGGAAAGTGGCCATGAAATACTTGAATTCTTGATTCTGAAGGAAGCACAAGCCAAGTGTAGTCACATGCATATGTTGGATTTTAGGAAAGTCAATTTTAATAAACTCGGGATAATTGTAAGTACAGTCTTATGGGCAACAACTTTAATGAGTAAAGGAGTCCAAGATGGGCAGGATATTTTTTAAAAAGAAATTTCTAAAGGCACAATTACAAACAATTCTAACAAGAAAAAAAGGTTAAAGACAACAGAAGAAGCCAATGTAGCTGCACAAAAAGCTTTGAGATGACTTGAAAACAAAAAGGAAATATATAGGAATAAAAGGAATGCCAAGCTACAACAGAAGACTACCACCAAGGAGCATGGAATTACAGGGATGGCATCAGAAAGGCTAAAGCTGAGAATGAGCTGAGATTAGCAAGGGATGCAAAAAGTCACAAAACACCTTCCTTCAGATACATGTACAGTAAAAGAAAAATGGTGTTTCAGCTACTCTGTGAGAATGGCACGATGATAACAGGTGACGAAGGAAAGGCCCAAGTGCCCAACTTCTATTTTGGCTCAGTCTTCTCTCAAAAAGGGGTTGATGACCTCCCCAGAAAAGTGAAGGGACAGGGTTAAACAGGGTTTAAACAGTCAAGATTGAAATCAATAAAATCTCCAGGGCCTGATGAACTTCATCCTAGAATAATAAAGGCACTTCAGAAGAACTGTCAAAGCCACTGTTAATTAACTTTGAGAAATCATGGAGGACAGGTGAAGTGCAAGGAGATTGGAAAAGGTCTAATGTCCCAATCTTCAAAAGGGAAAAAATGGAGAAACCTAGGAAGTACAGACCAGTCAGTCTGACAGCCCTGGGAAAACTCTGGAGCAGGGTATATATAAAGCAGATACAGCCACTTGCTTATGTAGTTTTTAAAAAGGATTTGCGTTTTGTAAATTAAAAAAGATGTAGGCAAATATTCAATGAAGAAAAATTGTCATTGTGAAGTATGATGGGTAGTTATATGAGAAGAAGGACAAGATTCCACATCAAAATATACTTTGGAGTAGGCATACTATCCCAAAAAAATTAACTTGATTGTCTTATTCTCACATGTGTCTAACTGATTTTCTTAGTACTAAATCTAGTAAGATAAGCCGATTCATGTGGATCTCCTTAGCTGGATTGGACCAATTGTCTTTTTATGCATCTCGGTAACAACTTGAGAAACAACAAGTCTGAAAGGCAAAGCACAAATCTCACTTTGTAGTTACAGCTGGTGTGACAGATAAAACAACATTTTATGTTGTCTCTGGAGAGGGTACTCTTGATTTTGGCCTCACATTTGTGGCAGAAACAGCAAGAAAATGTAATTAAAAAGCTTTACTTTTCAGTAAAACAGTGCAAAATGGAGTTGATTCAATAGCTAATGCCATTTTCTTAAAGCTCTCACCAAAAAATTTCCAAAGGCTATAAATTCAATCATTTAGATGGCTAGTGAAAACTGGTTAACACAATAGCCCTGTTGTCCAGATGTTCCAGTGAGGTAATTCCTGCATTGTGTAATGGAAGAGTCTGCTGGAATCATTCAAAAGTTGATCAAAGCTGCTTAATTCTTCTATTCGTTTTGTGATTGTTTCACCGTTCCACTAAATATGCTACATTCGTGCTGTAATCCTATACCATTTTGTCTCACTAATCTCAATCTGAGTAGACACACATGATTGCACTGTCAAAGTTTTTTTAGTATGTTTTCATTCACTGAATATATTGGCTTGGACATAGAATAGTCCTCTCATCCATAGTAAAGCTGTTAATCTAGTGGATGGGGAAAGGGAGGCATTTTTTGTCAATTCCCACGTCTGTCCTGCACCTTCCACAAGATTTCATTAGTCCTCCAGAACAGATATATAAAGGGTATAGGAGGCAGCAAGTGGAAGGGAGGAACTTCACAGATGGAATTTCTGGAGCTAGTCTATTATATTCTGTCCTCATTTACAACTAAGTGTAGCTGAATGAAATTTTGCTTTGAACAAAAACGAACACCAACTTCAATTACAGAAGTGTGTGTATATGTATGTATATGTGTATTTTGATGGACCATGTTTTGTCCATTGTTGCTCAATGGACAAAACTCTGAGTAGTTCGCAAAAGTTAACTCCCCCACCAAATATAACATGTTTAGGTATGATAAAGACCTTTCAGTATCTTAAAGAATTAAACCAGAGTACAATCCAGCATCTGTGTAAAGATCTAATACCACAAAAACAAATTAAGAACAAAACTGAAGGACTAAAAAGCCAGGCAAAATACCACAATGTAGGCATCATGTGATCCTCCCTGGAGAGGGCATTTTGCAACCAGAGTTCCACTGCTGGAAAGGCCTTTGCTTAGAAATACATTTTTCCACATGCCTAACCTTTTTTGGCAGCCTCTTCCTCCTCCTTTTTCTTTTGTTCCTCAATAGCTTTCATTTTTTCTTCATAGATATCAGCTCGTGACTTCCATTCCACCCGATTGTTTTGAAGACCATCAAACATAGGTGTAATTTCCCTGTGGAACCTTGAGAATTCCTAAGTAAACAGGCAATTCATGGAATGACCACTCATGGTAAAAAGATGTTGAATTTGTGGTGGCAACAGATATTTCTGATAAATACAAATAACCTTTAGCTTGACAAGTGTAGTGTCATAAGTTTAATGTTACAAACTTCAGGGCAATCTTATGGTCCCCCAGCATTGTCTGAGGAGCCAAAGGATTATTTGGAATCCCAACTCTGAAATCCTGCAGTCCCAGAACTGGGACTCTACTGGCTGAGCCTGTGCCTTGCCCACCTCACAGCTGCTGCAGAAAGAACCATGCCAGCTTCCCCCTTCCAGCATGAATTGGAGAAAAAGGGGCATGCCAAGAGAGAGGAATGGAATGGAATAGGGGATGCTGAGGCCAAGGCCTTAGGCTGATTCTGGCACTTTATATAGATGGTCAAAAACAGCCAATGGGACTTCAGAAAGGGAGCTCTGCTAACTTATGCTGTTCTAAAAGTCATATGAAGTAACTTTGGATAGTTTCTTAGTTTATGCTAGCAAGTGCTATTTTCTTCAAGCACTAGCAGTCATATCTGCTATAGTGGCATGCTGAGCACACTAGAATTGCTAGCACTGGTTACTGCACATAATTTCAAAAAAAGTGAATAACATAGGTTAAAAATATCTTACCTTGTACACAAAACTGCACACAAAATCTATGAAACCAACTTGTAGCTTGGGCAATTCCTCGCTTTTGTTCCTGTCCATCATAGGCTATAAAGAAATTAAGATTCAGTGGAAATAGGTTTATGATCAATTACTTGAACAGAAAAACTGTATAATTTGTTAAACTACTTACAATTGGCTGTTGCTGTAGGACAGTTCGTTCAAGATCACCTTGCTCCCAGAATTCATTTGCAACCATGATTGCAACCTGGGGAATAAATTATTATTATTTTCAGGTTCTGATCTGTGCAGTAATTATACTGGAACAGCATTCACTCTGCCCTCTCTGTAAGAATGCATTGCTTTCCCTTGTAGAGAGGAAAGCTTTTCCCAGCTAGCATTCACCCATCAGGAATCATGGGCCACCTGTTTTAAATGGATACAAAGAGATCCAGTTACTCTTGACAGCTGCCAGAAGGTGTGCTTGAAGAAAATGAGTCTTAAGGGGTATTTGCACAAAAAAAGAATATTGGAGGGGATTGGCATCTATTTCACACAAGTGTGGTTATTCGCCCTCCACCACCTCATTAGTCCCCATCTCACACATTTTGTACCTTGTCCTGAGTTTCTAGGTGTTTAAGAAAGGGCAAACATGATTTCGAAGTTAGCAATGGTTGTTTTTTGACTGGGACATATGGCAGTGCATATTTCAGTCAAAATAAAAACAATTTTGTTGTGCAAAAATGTATTTGAAAAAGAGGATTGGCAACTATGAACACATTGAAGGAACGGTCTGCACCTGTCAAAAATGGAGAACATGTAAGTTGTTGAGCCAGTTTTCACAATTACCTGAAAAAAATCTAGAAATAAAAAAGCAACAACTAGTCCCAGGCAGTTCATGATCATAGCAGCGATTGCAAAACAACTAATTCCTCCACCGGTGTCAACAGGATACCTTCAGGATGGCCAGTGGGGGAAGAGGGACCAACAGCACGGATGACTTAATGTCTGTCAGGCACATTGTACTTTCTTGTGTAAAACCCCATTCAGCGTGGCTTATTGCCAGAGTGGGTTAGTATGACATCTGAACACATCCAGTGCATATCTGAATATGGGTTACTGTATCATGCAAACAATAGCAAAGAACTTTCCTCTTTCATGTCCTAGGACAGGGCATTACATTTTCTGGCTGGCCACTGTTGCAAGTGGAATGTCTGGGCTAGATAGATCTTTGTTCTGATCTAGCAGGATTGTTCATATGGTTTTCTCCCTAATTGATGAATTTCTGCTTTGTTATTGTTGCAAGCTGTAAGGAATTAGATATTTTATGTGAATAAATTCTTAGTCATACTTATCTCTGAAGAAACCCACCTTACTTTGTACCTCCCAAGGTTTTGTGATAGCAGATAAGTCACAGCCAGTCATCATCATAGCCCTTTAAATAAAGACAACAGATTAGAGAAAGAGAAAAAAAAATCTAGTATCCCATATTAAAGAAATAAGAAAATTAAAATGACCTACATGATTACTTCTTTTTTGGTTGGATCCATACTTATATATTTAATTGCATCCTCTTCTTTTTCCATTTTTTCAATTGCATCCACAATCTTTTGAAACATAGTCCTTTTCCTGTGAAAGTAGAATGGCTATTACACATGTGGGTGTTTTTTATTACCTTCTTGAGCACTGTAATTTCCAGATGCAACAGTTAGACTTCTGAAACTGGTTTCTGATGCTCAAGAACAAGGAGCCCTGACTGAAATTAGGGAAGTAAAGTTTGATCATGCTGTGAGTCTCAGCAATCAGCTGTAGTCATTGATTTCGATTAACAAGTCACTCAGAATATTCCTATGCCGTTATATATATTTTTTTACTGTTTTATGAATATGTTTATTAAAATCAGGGTTTTTCCACACAATCATTTTGTGCTTGTAATTATAGTATTGAGCTGATTTCCAGCAGAATCGTATTATCCTTGGTTTTCTGGCATCTTAAATATATACCAGTGCATAGTGTCCATTACACTTGAATTGCCTTTTTCACACTAGGCAGTATTCCTATTAGACTATTAAAGGTTCTATTCAGTACAAAACGCATAAGTTTCATTTTTGGATGTTTTATTTATATTATTATAGTTACAAAAATAATCCAGTAGGCCAATGAAGCAGCAACTGTGAATAGTAAGATAACATAATTCTGAAAATCAATATAAAAGCGCAATTTAAATTTTCATAAGTATTTTAGCAGGAAAGAATTTAGTACTTACTTGAAATATAAAGCCAAGTCAGTTGCTATGATTGCAACTTCAAATAAATGTAAAACAGTTTCAAACTGACGCTTATTTAGGTTCTGGAAGATATTTAAACTCTGCAAGATGAAGGTTTTTGCAAATCAGTACTGCTTGCAAAATATTGCTACTTCAAGTGCATTTACTATTACACAAAATAATCCAAACTCAAAAGGTAAGCATAGCAGACCTGACCTGAATCTAATGATTATGCTGTTTTATTATTATTATTATTATTATTATTATTATTATTATTATTATTATTATTGTTATAACATTTCTATGCCGCCCCTTGCCGAAACCTCGGGGCGGCTTACAACATGATAAAATACATTGAAATACAATAGTACATAATAAATTACCATTAAATATAACAATACAAAAAATACATTGATTTACAAATACAAAATTAAAATTATCAGTATAAAATAAAAATATAGGAGGAGAAAGAGAAGGAAGAAGAAGTTGCCCTGGCCAGATCATATGTTTTAACAATTGAAATGATGTTTAAATAAAAAGGTCTTTACCTGGCGCCGAAAAACCAGTAACGACGGTGCCAGGCGGACCTCTTTGGGGAGTGAATTCCATAGGTTGGGCGCCACCGCAGAGAAAGCCCTCCTCCGAGTGCTTACTCTCCTAATTTCTTTCATGGAGGGTTCCCGGAGAAGGGACTCTCCCGCAGATCTCAAAGGGCGGTCGGGCATATACGGACGTAAGCGCTCGTTCAGGTAGCCAGGACCCAAGCCGTTTAGGGCTTTATAGGTCATAATCAACACCTTGAATTGGGCCCGGGCTTCAATGGGAAGCCAGTGAAGCTGACGGAGGACTGGAGTCATGTGAGCATAACGCCCCGTCCCCGTCAGCAACTTGGCAGCTCTATTTTGCACCAATTGAAGTGTTCGGACTGTCTTCAAGGGTAGCCCCACGTAAAGCGCGTTACAGAAGTCTAGGCGGGAAGTCACCAGCGCGTGTGTCACCATCGCCAGGCAGTCGTACTCCAGGTAGGGGCGCAGCTGATTGATCAGCCGAAGCTGAAGGAAGGCGTTCCTCGCTACCACTGTCACCTGAGCTTCCAAAGAAAGCTCCGGGTCGAGGAGTACTCCTAAGCTGCGGACCTTATCCCTAAGAGGGAGTGTTGCACCATTCAGGACCAGGTCAAATCCACCCTCTCCGAAACCTGATCCGCCAACCAACAGGACCTCCGTCTTGTCTGGGTTGAGTTTCAGTTTATTGGCCCTCATCCATTCCCTTACCTCGGCCAAGCACCGGTTCAGCACAGCCACTGCCTCACCTGGATTAGTGGAGAATGAGAGGTAAAGCTGGGTATCATCAGCGTATTGATGATTCCGCAGCCCACACCTCCTGATGACCTCTCCCAGCGGTTTCATATAGATGTTAAATAGCAGAGGGGATAGAATGGAGCCCTGTGGTACCCCATGGCATAGCTGCCATGACGTAGAGACATGGTCCCCCAGCACTACCTTCTGGAATCGACCGTTGAGATAGGAGCGGAACCACTGCAAAGCAGTGCCTCCAACCCCCAATCCCGCAAGTCTATCCAGAAGGATACCATGGTCACAACTAATACAGACGTTACTAATACTTTTTGCACAAAAGAAGTACAAATAAATAAAAGGAGACACAGACCTCATCTTGTAGCAATGTTTTACTGTACTCTAGATGATGCCTTTCTAGAATGGAAGAGCCATGAAGTCTTGCCAGTGGAGCTGCTGACCTTTTGAAACATAATTGTATTGTTTAAAATACTTCAATATGCTTTCTAAATCATGTACACTTGTCTTGTACATTTCTGTACACTAACTTTTAATTAACAGGAAACCAATCTTAACCTAGCATACTGACAATTATTTTCAAAAGTTGGATTGTTGTGAACAGTACGGCATGCTCGTGTGTGGTGCCATTGCTCCTGCTGCATGGCTTAACTGTGTTTCCAGTGCAGACTTGTTTTTCCCAGTAAGTTACACTGGTCTATAAGGAGAAAGCCTCGAAAATGAAAGTAGCTAAATTTTACCAGAATTGGGCCACTAATAAAGGAAAATTAAGTCCTGAGTATTAATTGGCTCCAGTTTCCAAGATACAACTTCATGTCAAAATTGCATCAGAATAATTCAAAATTACAAGGGGGATGTATGATTATGCTCTATAACTTTTCTGTAAAATGTGATATAGCAATATAGGAATTGAACTTTCCATTCATTTATTGGTTTTTCATGTAACATTTTCATGCTTTTTACATGAAAAACTGACAAGCTCTAACATCTGCAAAAGACATGGACTTTTTCTTCTTGTTTGGCCAATGAGATAAGTTGCGCATGTAATGCAACAATAATGAGGGGCCCAACTCTTGTCCTGATCCCCTAGTTTGCATCCAAAATATAGGTGGTATGCCTTTTTCTACCACTGGCAGCATACTGCACTTTTGAAATGCAAATGTAACTTCTGAGATGCACAAATGTAGCAGAGGTTATCTGCATTGTTTACACAGTTTCAAGGCATCTTGGCTTCTGAGGGAAAATTTCATGCAACTGTTCCTTGGAAATGTTAGGCAATGACACTTTCATAAGCCACCAAATGTAACTGTATGATGCGTAGATTTGACCAAATCAAATGTACCTTGCAATAAAAGAACAATAAATTACAGTTAGGCAATAATCTTTAGTCTCAAAGTGAAGATAAATTTATACACTTCCATGTGGTACCATTTTTGTTGTTCTACTATACTTTGTTGAGAAGTTGCGAGGCATCATGATCATCAGGTACCTCCCTCCCTTGTAGGCAATTATACTCGCCTGTGTATAATTCTTTCTTGTGAAATGTCTTGAAAACTTTAGCCAACCAGCACCTTAATCACCTGTTTTCTAATTCATCTAATCAAAATATGCAAGAATTAGCACATTTTATCTTGGAGGTCAATAATTTCCCAAAATTTGTAGACCAGTGTTACAGTTCACGGCTCGAATGTCATGCTAAACAACCCAGGAATTGAGTATCCTAGATTGCTGGTTGCTTCCACTTGCGATGGGGACAGTCAGACATCATCTACCCATACCCTGCCATAAACACAACAACCCAGGATTTTTAAAAATTGTAGTTATGATGTGGGACCCAGGCCCACAAAGCTTTTTTGTAGTTCGTCCTCAACTCCAGAAGATGCAGCCATTTCTTTTCTCAGCCATAAGTACGGAGATTGTCATTATCATATAAAACTGTGAATTACCACTAAGATAGCTTGAAAAAGTGACAAATTCATGAAAAATTAAATCTTCCAAGAGCTTCCTGGATAAGAGTCAGTGAAGAAGAAACTGTACCTGCAGAACAGTAATGGGAAAGAGCTATTTCTTTCATGCCTTTCTTGTGGCTTTCCAAAGGCTTTAAGACCAGAAAGTCAGGTCAGATGGATCATAGTCCTGATCCAATAGAGTTCTTATTTTGTATTCAAATGAGGAATGTAGGAGAAATTTGTTTCAATTTGTGTTTGACCAGGTCAGGTTTGCATCTCTCAAAACAAATGGGGACTTAGACACAATCTGTAGTCAACATCTATACATTTCCAGGATTTGCAATGTGCTTGCAATATGCTTTAGAAAGTATGCACACATTTTTAAAATGTGCATGAGAGGTTACACACTTCTGAAAATTGTGCAGAAAAGTACTTTAATCAATGGGAGACGAATGCATGCATTTCAAAGAAGCATACAAATGATGTGTACTATTGGGAAAATGTGCAAGAATGAATGCATGAAATTTCATGTGAAAAGAAAAAAAATCAGCCTGATAAAGACAAAGGTAGAATTTGAAGAAGTTGGACAAGTTTGAACTGTACTTGTCTGCACATCCTTAGGTGTGTTTATACATAGGGAAAAGAAGTTACAGCGAACAAATGTAACTTAGAATTGAATGGTTTAGGTATGTGAAATTGCATTTCCTTCATTTAAAAACATGGATATTCAAAATGCACAGATTAGTAAATTAACAGTAGTACTTACTTCATTTGGTACAAGTTATTGGTTCCTCGGTGATCAATGTCATGGCAGAAGGCTGCAGCTACCATAGCAAAGGCTTCTAAGTCAGTATAATATTTTTTTATTTTACCTGTCTATAAAAAAGAAGTAGTTTGTTGTTTCCTTTGCATATTGGTTTGTATTTTATAATTTGTTTTACATGAAAAGCATCTTAATCAGAGATCCAGAATAACAAAGTATACCATCAAAAGGGTAAACATTGTCTGTCCAACATTGAAGCCATGCCGCCAGTTGTGGTACGTGATATCGCGATATCCTTTTCTGACTGTATACATCCACCTTGTCAGTACCTGTGGACAATAAAAGGAACTTAATTCTCTGTACTTTTAAGGCCTGTATACACTATATAAGAAATAATTTCACTACAGTTGGTAAACTGGTGGCTAATTTCTAATCATAAACATGAAGGCTTGTGCAGACAGTATTAATTTTTATGAAGCTTCCCAGTTATTCTCAAGTTTGTCTTTGTGCAAATAACTTTCCAAAATGTATTTTTGCCTGAGGCAGAAAGTTCAGGCAGTACCTCCTACACATGCATACACTTACCTCTGATTAGATTATATGACATTTTATTTTTCTTACACAGTATTCTTACATAAACCTTATTGAAATTAATGTGAGTTGCACCAAAGTACTGCTTGTTGAACAGCTTCTACTTCAGGAGGACTTGCCCAAAAGAACTTGCTGGTGAAGTGTGTCAGATCTATCACTCTGTCTTATGTTATGGTAAGGTTGCCTCCAGCAACTCATGAGGAGCTCATGGATATCAGAAGTAGCAATACTGTCACACAAGTCTGCAAGAAATGTGTCTTACATGCAGAATTGTCACATGCATGATCCATGAGCTCCCTATTCACACATGATGATAGTGCACATGTGTGTACAGTCTGGGACAGACAGGAACAAAAAATGAAAACATGTATGAATTAGTTTTTCCTATTGTTTTGCATGCTTTCTCTTTTCAAAGATTGCCTTGTATTTTAGCTTTGCAAACTCTCATTTAGGGCTTCTCTACACAAGACATTTATTGTGTGCACATGGTTCCTCACTGAGAAGTTTGCAAGTTGGTTTCATGATCTCCTCCTCCTCCAGGGTCTCTGTTCTCTTTCCAGTCATGTTTGTGGCTTTTTTTTCAAACAAAGAAAGTGCAGTATTAGTTCCTATGGCACTAGGTAGTGTTAGAAAATGTATTTTTTCACACTTGCAACACCACCTTGAGGTTGTTTAACAAAACCTGTCTGAAGGCAGAAAAAATAAACCTGGGAGGTGGAGAGACATGTTTAAAAGGATGTGCTCTTCCTCCCACAATGAAAACAGAAAAAGAAGCGTCACTAAACCATGGGATCAGTGCCTCATGTGGAGAAGCCCTTCTTCTCCAACTTTTATATACTGTAGCACACACACCAGAATAGATCTGTCTCATATTTTGGACTTGAAATGTGGGCACACTGGCCAAGAATGTCAGCCTCTGCTGCTGTAGAATAAATACAGATATGCAGAGCTGTCATTTGTTTCATAAGGAACAGGCTTTATGAAAACAAAGGGAAATAAATCTGACCTCTGCTGGTACTTTGAACTTTTCCACAACATTTATTTCAAAGAATAGTCGTATCCCACATTTTATTAACTCATGTTCTGTAACGGGGAAATCACTGAAACGAAATTCATAAAGTTCTACATTCTGTGGATCAGGCAATTCTTCCTTCTGTTGGGAAAAAAAAGTTGAGATCTTCTCAGTTTGACATGTGACAGAGATTAAGCAAGTTAAATTTTTCAGCTTTTAACTTTAGTGTAGGAGTGTTGCCTTGACAACAACTTGGAATCAAGACCTTATGTACATGCAGTTCTCATGTTTCAAATAACACTTTTTCAAAAATCAGTACAGCATGTTAAACTATTTAGTACTTCCAAATTATTTTTAAAGAGGGAAAAGTGGGTTTCTGCATTTGTGGAATGATGCTTCCTGGTGAGTTTGCAGGTTAAAATCTGAGGTATACACTCAAGTTAGGCAACATAATTTACATGGATTATTAATTATAGGTTGAAAATGAATTATAAATCTCATGACAAGCCCTCTCCTCAAGACTGCATGTAGTCCACCAAACCCTGTCATGTTCTTGAATGCCATCCCCACAATGATACTATCTTTTTGCAGTCCCAGGCAAAGCAACAAAACTCAGAGATTTACTGGTGTAGTAAATGGCATTCAGCCTGGTGCAGTTGTATGAGTATATGGCCTAGTTTTGACTAGTAAAGACGACACATGCCCCAGGCACTGAGACAGTGCAAGGCGAAAGAAGGATGGCTGCTCGCTGGCATGTATATTAACCCCATGTCCATGTGTGGTCAAACAGGTTTTGTTTTAATTCAAAAATCTAAGAGAGCTATTAGACCTGAAATTAGGACAAAAATATATGTGTGTGAGAGTGTGTTTGCATCAGAAGATGGGGAACCTCAATTCAAAAGCCAAATTCAGTTTCAGAGAAGTTGTTGGTGCTGTATTTCAGTGGTGGGTGGGACCAGAGGGAAAAGTGATAGGGGCAAAACCATAAAAGAGACCCTTTTTTCATTACTTTGCATCTACTGAATTTCTCTAGCCTCAAATTTGTTTATTTGCAAAATGGAGCTTAAAGATGTTGTAGAAGAATTGTTGCAGTCATGCTGGATCATTCTGATCATGTTTCTCCATCATCAGAAATACTTGTTCTTGCCTGTCTTCTACTGATTCCACTGAACTATGGCATTTACATTTACCTTTGAATTGATGGATATAAGAATATGTTTAAAATAACTTCATAGTAAAAATATCTCCCCCCAGAAAACCCCCTAGAAAATGTAAAATGTACATTTTCATTTGCCCATCCTTTACAAAAATGTAAAGGATGGGCAAATGAAAACGTATTTGCATGGAAAAAAATGTCAGAGGGGAGTGCAAGATCAGCTTTTCTGCAGAAAGCATTTGGAAGCTAGGGTACCACACAGAACAGGCTGTCTCCCTGAAAGCTACATGCAGCCTCTCAGATGCCCTAGAGGTTAATGGGCATTTCAGTCCAGGTAGAGATGCAGGTAGCAAACTTTCCCAGGTGCTTCCATGTTCCAATGGCTCACCCAAAACCATGAATGTTTCCCTTCAGAGGAAGTGCAGCCCCGTCCAAAATTAGGAATACCACTCAGCCAGACAATTCACCTAGCAACAGCTCTTCCATCTTAACCCTGCTTGTTGGCATTTTTCCAGTCCATTACCATGCTCAAGGACTGGTTTAGCACTTCCACTAGAAATAGAGCTGTGCATAATTCACATACTGATGGGACCTCACTTCAGATTTCTGGATGAAATCACTCAGTGTTTTCATGTACCTGTTAAAAGTGTAGGAGAGAAAACGGAACCCTATGGAACTCCATAGTATACATGGAGTAGTCCTCCCATTCCACCTTCTGGAATCAACCATCCATATAGAAACCAAATCATGATCAAATGGAATCACTGTAAAATTCCAGTCAAAACAACCTATCCAGAAGGATACTATGGCTGACAGCATCAAAGGCCCTTAGAAGTCCAGAAGAATTGACACGGTCCTACTCCTCACACTCCTGACATTAGTCACCCAGTAGGGCAACAAAATCTAGAATTAACATGTTTCATACAGTGGTTGGTTTCATACCAATATTGCTTGTCAGTGGGTGTACTGTGTGCAAATAAAATTGAACATAATATTAGAAAAATGATGACATAATACTGCCATCATCATCCACCATCCATCACCAGCATCATTATTGTTATGAGTACGAGAAGGTTTCCACTTATATTCATTCTGGTTCAAGTTGAAAGGCAGGAGTTAGTCATTCCTAGAACAATGACAATTTTAAAGTTACAACACCTACGTCATTGAGGCCCCATTGGTGAGGGTGTTCAAAGATAGGCTGGACATGCATGTGGTGGGCATGTCGTGAGCTGAGCCAGCTGGTGCCAGAGGTCAGACTAGATGGCTTGGGAGGCCCCTTCTGACTCGCTCTGTTTCTATGTTTCTATATCATTAACAAGCTCAGATTTCAAGTATTCTAATAGAACAAAGTTGTTATATGTGACAGTACATGAAAGATCAGACGATATTTTCCAATGCCTTTTGCTACCAGAAATCTGCATTCATTTCTAGAGATGTTTCAATCCAATATTTCAGTCAGATAATTCCAAAAAATAGGAGTATCTTAGTTTTTTTTAGATGGAACAAAGATGATGTAAGGGCAACCCAATTTATCATGGTTCAAACTTTATGTAGACATTTAATCTATTTGTTGATGAAATTTCATTAGATCCTTTCTCTTTTTTAATGCATCAGATTGTCCTAACATAGACCTGCGGTTACTGGTAGATCTTGGGATGATTTAACAGTAGATTGGCTGGGATTTCTTACTCCCAGTTTTCTGTTCTGTTTTTAATATTAAAAGAAAAACAATTCCTCTCCCATCCCATCCTAAACTATACTACAGAAGTTTAAAAAAAGACTGGAGTAACTAATTACGTGTAGATTGTTGTGCAACAGAACTGTAAGCTCTGTCCGATCCTACTGCTAAAAAATCCCTGGGCTCAAAATTCTTCAATTCAAAGTGTGTGTGTGTCTGTGTGTTTTGCATCTGGTTCCAGCCAAATTCTAACTAGATCCTGCAAGCTTAAATTGTTCTCACCCCTGTTACAAAGGATATGGACTACTGGTGAAAATGGCATTTTTGTGTCAAAAGTAAAAGTATTTCAGTAGTATCCCTGACACTTCCTAAAATACACAGATCCTCCACAAGCATGTAAGCAACTCCAAATACTTCTTATAGGAATACTATTGGAAAACACATAGAGTGATCTGTCTTATCACAGCTAGAGCAACAAGCTGATTAGGGCTCATTCTGTCATGCTGTACATGACAGTGGACTCAGGAAGACGTCAGTGGTAACTGACATGGCAGAATGGTAGAGAAAGATGAAACTACGCTTATCCAGTCCAATCGCTGCCTGAAGTCCCATCACCTGCATTGTCCAATGCTTCCTGATTGCACTACACTCCAGACTAAAATGAATGACAGGCAGAGAATAGACATATCACAGAAAGATCCCTGCAGAGGAACAAGTTAGAATAACACAATCAGATTTGTCATATATAAGTACCAGAACCAAACCAATTTAGAAGACCTTTCCTGTACTTTTATGTCATACACCTTCTCTTGTGTTCACAGGTATACTGCAAAGATTACTGCTTTATGATTACACATGTAACTTTGCAAATGGGGGTTCCAGTCCCCTTGCAAATGATTTCTGGTATCTGATTCTGTCTTTCAACAGTGCAGGTTGTATTATTTCATTTGGAAATAAATGTGGCCAAAAGACAGAGGTTCAAGTAGTTTTTTCATTGTTATCCATACCACTATGGAGGAAAAACAGGCTATAAATTATGTTTACTAAATGAAATGAAAAAGAGTGCAGAGATGTGTTCTAATAGATTGCCAGAAATATTTCTACATTAATTCTAATGCCTTTAAAGTGCTAGATTTTTTCACACACTCAGATGCTTTTTGAAATAACAAAGATATTAAATGTACATATACTTTTAGCTACTTACCAAAATTTTGATTAGTTGTTTCTCATCACAGTCTTCAATATTATCTACATTCAGTTTTTCTTTGTATTTCTAACAAAAAACAAATGAAAGATACTGAGCCCAATTGACTCTGCAGTGAGATCCTATAACTTCTGATCTCGAGAACTTAGGTGACACTCACCAATATGCTCTGGATTTCAGCCTTTGTTGCCTTTGTCTGGTACATCAACATTTCCTGAGCAATGTCTTTCCTGTTTTCAAGCTTATTCATTTTGTCATAAGTGTCAGTATTTAAAACAGACCACCCAAGGAACTGTGTAAGCATCTGACATAGTAAAAAGAGAGAAAACTATTTCAGTATTTTGGTTTGGTCCATACAGTTTATTCCAAGTAATATTGCCCTTGGGTATGTGGAAAGGCACATTATGCACTGCAAGAGCAGTATTATACACTGGCTTTGCAACATTCATATGCATACACACAATATGGTAAAGGACCCTTCAGTGATGCCCCATATGAAGAAGGAAACAAATAGCCAGTGAGTTGTATAATCACACAGCTGTCAGTCCGACCACATTCCACAACCATGTCTAGGCAAGCATATAGGAAATGTGTTTCATCCTCTGTCAGGAAGCCTCCTTGGCCACCAAACATCTGGTAAGGTTTCCTACATAAGAAGGGCACCTAAAACTCTGCCAATATGCTGCTGAGTGAGGCTAGCACATCAGTGGTGGGCTTTTGCCTGATTGGCGTAGCTAGTCTCTAACAATATAGGAGTATGTTGTTTTCTCCTATTGTATATATTAGATAGGTTGTTTCCCACTGTGTCTGCCAGCGAAAAGGACAATACCGCCAGAACAGATATGGCATCCCTGCAATGTTCTGTGTGGCCCAGAAATCTCAGGAGAAGATCTGGGTGGGTTGCAGATCTGGGTGGATTGCAGCTGAGAGCAGAGGAAGGAAGTCCTTTTGTAGTTGTGTGATGTTGGACGTTGTCCTGTATTTTTATGGTTTATGACTTGGCTCCAAAGGCGCCATTCTGAGGGCACTAAGCCAATTTCATGAGAGAATGTTGCACCGTGAACTGAAATTCCTTTTCAATTTCCTCTGTTTACACAACCCTTTGCATGACTGTATTAAGAATTACTTATTTTCCTTCCATCTCTTTAATTGTTTAAATGTAATGACTTTTCTACATAAATTGTTACTGTGTGCTCATCAGTCCCTATACACAATAGTTTACTGGTTCTTTAGATGACACTGTAACCTTCCAGTTTCACTTCTATGACTAACCCAGGGCCGTCTTAACAGCATTATGGGCCCTGGCAAAGCAGTGTACTGGTGCCCCTATGACAATGACAACTACAACTACTGTTAATTTTGGAAGTTTTCCAATTTTCCAAGGGTTAACATACACAGATTAGTATGGGGCCCACAGGCAAGTGCCCATCAGGCCCATGCGTTAAGACAGCCCTGGTCTAACCAATGTTTTTGGCAAGCTAGTCTCTAACAACTTAACAGCTTTTTGTTGTGTTCTGTTTTTAGAACAAGGAACATGCAACGTTTAATTGTCAAAGCAAAAGAAAGTACAATTTCATCTTGCGTGTTTGTGCAATTCTTCAGTACCACGGTGTAGCAAAAAAGATGCAAAGAAAATAGGCCTCATGTAGTGCTTGGATCTCAGTGCTGTGACAAAACCAAAATTCAGTGCAGCCAGTTAATGACCTTGAGTAGAAAAGCTCTCAATCTCTTATGTGTGCATAAAGCAGAACCCAGTTCCCTGATGCCATGCAATTTACCATTTTTAAACCCCAAACCAAGGTACAAAGTGATCCTTTCCTTTCCCTGAGAAACTGTACTGCAGTCATTAGGGCTGTCTTTCTACTTGTGAACTCCATATATTGCCATGTTCTTGTGTGTTCCTTTTGCACACTGTAATACAGCTCCAGATGCTTTTTAATACTACACTTTCCAGGGCAGCTTGAGCAAAGCTAATGGGCTTACTTGTTCTGCTCTGTATCTTTAGAAAAAAGGTTGGAACCAGCTTTTATAAAAATTAACACCAATTTGTTTCGGTCAACAGAGATTATCTTGACATCCCTAACCAAGCTTAATAGGACAGTACATGAAATGCCTAAGGTACATTGTATTATGCCAACTACTATCCCACAAATAATGACATGCAAATTTATACTTATATTACATACATCACAGGCACATAGATTCACAGCAAATATTCCAGGTTAGAATATTTCAGAATTTGAACTGTTACCCAGCTGAATAATATTAATTGATTAACCATCCATCTTTTAAGCAGTTAATTATTTAAATAAGTACATTTATATATTACCATTAAATAAATATGCATGCTTCTCGAGATAATAAATGCTGTGTGATTTTTTATTTCCAATTATATCAACAAGCCATTAAGCAATAGCTTAATGCTCAAGTCCAATAGTTAAAATTGTCTTTATTTGATTAATCTACTGATGAAACTAAGTTTGCAGGCCTATAGGGCATACAAAGATAATTTCTCCATCTCATGCTTGCTTATAAATTAACAATATAAATCTTACTTCAGTAATCTGTTCATCATATTCATCAAAGGGCCTCCCATCTTTCCTGTTATAAAATGTAGCCACACCAACAATTTCTTCCTTTTTGTTGACAATAGGCAAGGACAAGACATTTTTAATTATCCAGCCAGTCTCATCAAATGTTCCTTTCTGCAGAAAAGCAAAAGAAAAGCCAACGACACATGCTTTGTTTAAAAGATAGTCTGTGTTTATGTGAATGTTCATGTCATAACTGGAAATGTAGAAGGACTAAATCATATAAAATTGGGACTAAAATGCCATCATCTCAGTATCACGTATTTGTTTGTTCACACAATAAAAGAGCTTACCTGAAATGTGAAGTATTCATCTGCAGGTGCATTCATCATATTACAAATCTAGAAAAAGAAAGGAATTCAATAAAAACATTTCTACATTTAAATGCTGGTCTTTACAGTAGATGACACCAAATGAGGGCTGGCTCTTTTCTCTTAGGATATTCTAAGCTGTTGGGTCCTACAACTGTGCCAATCCAAATATATTGTGCATAATACAACATTCTGGCTTTGCCTCTTTCTATTTATTTTGGGATAAGAAAAAGAAAATGGCAGTAGTAATGGGAAAATATGGGAGGGTTACGAATAGGAGACAATATCACCTGGAGTTCCCATAAAATTCTCTGAATGAGTGTGATTTCAGAATAAAAGCCTCATCCTTATTTCTGCAGTGCTTCCCTGGGGTGGGTGCAGAGAGCATAAAATGGTTGTGTGTCCTGCTTAGTGTTTCCTCCACACTGACACTCCTGGTTAGTCTAGATGGGAATGCAGAATGTCTGTCACCCCAGGGCTACATTCTAATTTGGAGAAGCTTTCAGGAATCACATTCCAGTGGTGGGTGGTATCAAAGGGTAAAAAGGAGAGGTCGAAACCAATAGCAGCATATTTTAGCTAAAGCTCTTCCAGACACTGAGAGAGCCTTAGGAGAAGCATTTTCCTCCTTTTAGAATGGAGAAAAACTTCCAAAAAAAATCTGAGAAACCAGCAAATGATTGGTAGGTAGGAGAAAGGGGTAGAGCCCAGGAAAGGGAGCATGATTTATTTGAGGACAAAGCAGCCCTCAAATAATCAACAAGACTTTGAGAGTTGTTCGCCCCTTGCACAAACTAGGTTCAGCATACATCACAAACTGAGATGGCATGCACAGCTACTTAGACAAGCTTGTTGATCATCCAAAATTATCTGGGTCACACACAATGCTAAATCATGGTTTATTTAACCCATGGCTTGTTGAATTTATGTTGTATACGCCCAGCTATACTAACAAATAATGGTTTGTTAGCCATGAACAACCTAGAAAGAGAATCCATGGTTTGTTGTTTGGTTGTGACCTCTGGATTGTTTAAACCATAAGCTGTCATTACATGTAAACCCAGAACCATAGGTTGTTAATGGGTTGTTTTGCTAACCTACAGAGACAGCAGGTAAGAGTGATTAACAAAAGAAAAAAAACATGCCAGTAGAACAGTGCCAAAAAGGCATTTGTGATTCAGGGATAAAGCAGCAAGGCCAGCATTAAATATAGATATTATTGGATACTTGCCAATGGCCTACACTCCAGCAGAACCTCACTGACGAAAGCCCCATGGACTTGCTCCTCCTTTTCACCACTGCAGCCTGCTTGTGCGCCTGCCTCTTGTTTTGGTCTGCACAATGGTGGAGGTGAGATGGAGGAGCAGTAGATGCCAATGGTTTCTGTTTCCTAATCTTTGCCTGTTAGGCAAGCAAGGAGGAGGAACAATAGCAGCTGGTGACAATGCACAGGAGAAGGTGGGTTCATTGAGGAGAGGGAGATCACTGAGAGTGTTTTTCCCTCAAAGACCTAGATCTAGGCAAAGAAGGAAAGAAACAAACAAGCCATGCTTTGTTCAGTTGTCTGTCAGACGAACCTTGACAGAGCAACAAACCATGCCCAACCATGGACAAAATAAAAGATGAAGTAATGTTATGTGCAAGTCAGGTCAAAATGTAATTTAAGGCCAAAATGGACATTACTTAAATGTGCGTCTGGCAGCTATTGTATTCTTTTTCATTGTCAATGATTTTTCAATCCCTGATCAAAAATGAAGCTAGCATGGGGAAGATTTAAGATCTGGATTTAAGACTGAGGTCTTAATCCTAACCCTAACCCTATTCTAGAAAAAAGGCCCCCAAATCCAAGGCTCACAGAGCCTTGTGTGTGTGTGTTAAAAGTGGCATTGGAGCTTGACAATTTGTCTTGCAGCAAGCCAGCCTCTCTCCTGCCCCATTTTAAAAGTAATTAGAATAATCTTACAAAAATAAAATATCAGGAGGGGCACAGAGCCTTGCAAATGCGAAGAGAGGAATCCACAGCCACATGGTGGCCATGGGCACCACATAAGGGATTAGACACTTGCTCTGCAATCCTTTACTGTACATAGCTGCCGAGAAGGACATCCCACCGAGTTCAGTGAGTTTGCACCAGATAAATGGGTAGAGGATTGCTGTTTTGGGTTGCAACCCTACATGTACTCACCTAAGAGTAAGTTCCTTTGAACTTAGTGGGTCTTACTTCAGGGAAACATTCACAGGTTTGCACTATTTGTCTTTTTAAAATTTTACTTGGGACTACGTGTGTGGAAAAATGTAACAGCAGGAATCAGAAAGAGGCCTGGCTTGCATTGTCATAAACCTTGGTTTCAATTTGTGATTGATTTAATGATTCTTTTAATAAAAATAAATCAAACACAAAACACATTTGTCAGACATGCACACTGTATAAAATGAAAGTTTGACACTTACAAACCCATTTTCAGCAACATATGTTGGCAATCCACTAGCAAGACACCAGTGGTCTGCAGGAGGTGATCTTGAAGGAGAGAATGAAATTAAATTATCACATTTGGCATAAACAAGCACAACTAGCTATTATCTAACAGACTGACAATAAGCACTCACGGAATGACTTTGATTTCCTCTTTTCCATGCAAAATGTAATCAATTATCTTGTAAAAGTTGACTTCCTAAATACAAAGGGAAGAAAGCACTGTAATAATCTGTAAGCAAGCAGCACTGCAAAAAAATGTGTTTTGGACTGACAAAAGATTTCTACTCACTCGGCCATCAGGTGTTTTTGGTCCTTTGTAAGGCTCTGCTTCACCCAGCTTAATTGGCCACTCATCATAGAATTCCTGGAAATAATTGCAAAGAAATTAACAAGAAGTTCCAATGGAAACAGCAACTGGGAAATGGATTCTAAAATGACCAAGACAGTAGAAAACAGCACTTTGGCCTCTGATTCTGTGCACAGTTTTGTTGTACCTGTTACTTTTTGAAAAGAGAAATAAGATCCCCAGTCAAAGAATATTTTATCATATGAAGCAAGTTCTATTGCTTTTGATGAAGTTAACTTTCAAATAAACATGTTTGCAGACATATTTTAATTTTCCTGTTCCTTTGTTTCAAATAAAGACAGGTCTAGCAATGAGGATTGGGTGAGGAAAGCTACATTATTTTTTATGACAAAATTACCTTCTCTTTCGTCATGTCCAGCAGTCCAACAGAATACCTTTCACAGTTTAAATATATTCGAATAGTGTACAGTGCTTTGTGAAACTGTCGCTCAATATCTGTAAGTTCTTCAAATACTTTGTTAGCGGACCACAAAAGCATCTAGTTCAGAAAGAGGGGGAAGTTGAAAGAATATTTAAAACTGTGGGTAATAACAAGAATCAATAGAAATGATATTTGTGGGAAACAGAAACTATAGGAGAGAACAACTGGGTTCAGAAAACACAACATGGTTTGTTATTGTAGGTGGGTTGTCATGTCATGGGAACAGGACTGCTTCTTTAAGAGTGGCTTGTTTCTTTTTCAGCCCAGGCTGCCTGTGGCACTGGCAGTTCTGGGCTGTTTTAGGGTTGGTGTTAGCTGGGGTGGTTTATTGTGTCACCTAAACCCAGATGACATAACCCACCATGAGTTAGACCCAACAGCCAGTTAGTCTTCCTGGCAAGAGCAGGAGAAATCTGGTATTACACAGATGCCTGGAAGGCCTCCCTGGGGAGAATATTCCTTAACTGTCGTGTTGCCATATCCATGCTACTGTATCCCCCATCATAAGGTGAAAGTTGTATCATGAAGAAAGCTGACCAGAAAATATTGATGTGTTTGAAACATTGTGCCGGAATAGAGCTTTGTGAATGCCCCAGGCCCACAGAAAGATGAACAAGTGGTTCCTAGATCAAATCAAGCCAGCATTTTCCCTGAAAGCTAAACTGACAGAATTGAAACTGTTGTCATATTGGCACAGCCTAAGAAGACAAAACACACTGGAGAAGACAAGAATGTTAGGGGAAATTGAAGGCAGAAGTTAAAGCGGAAGACCAGCTATGAGATGGATTGATTCCATAAAGGAAGCCACAGCCTTGAGTTGGCAAGAGCTGAGCAGGACGGCCAAGTACAGGGCGCTTTGGAGGGTGTTGATTCATTGGTTCACAAGAAGATGGCATGTAGAGATGGCATGTTGAACAACAAAAGAAGTATTGCCACTGCAAAGACCCTCCCTGCCGACATCAGGGAGGTGCCCAGCAATGGTCATGTAAAGAAGATTCTTTTGATATTCTGGCAGGTGTATAAGCACATTATTAAAATGGTTTAGCAATAAATATAGGTGATGTGGGCTTTCATTCAATTCAGATTTAGTTAATAAGACTTACCTGACTTTTCCTGGATTCAATATTGTACAGATATGCTGTGTGGAATTGTTTTAAAGCAAGTGCAAGGAAATCAATGTATTTGTTAAAGACCTGCAATGAAACCAAAAATATAAGACAAATGATCATGAACATTATCCATACAAATGTTAACACATTAAGTTAAACCAATTTCACTGGATAGTTAAGCACATGGTTGTCTTGCTGTTGTGGAAGTCAACTGGGCCTTAAGAATACTTAACTTTGGCTGGACTTTAGTCAACGGTGTCTTTTAGTCTTAAATCACACTCTTCCTTTGAAAGACCAGAGTGATCTGCAAGTGGATTCCAACAGTTGCTTTCCCAGTAAGACTACAGTACTACAGTAACTTTTTAAGGGAGACGCCCACTGAACACAGGGAGACTTCTTAACAGCCAAGTACAAGATTGAACAGTTTCCACTACAGTATTGTGTGCTTCTAGATAAGGCTTTGCAAATACAATTGACTTGCCACCTTCACTGAATTTTAAGGAGGTTACTGATGTTGTTATCCACATGAAATCCTCCCACATATTCTCCTTGCTTCATTTGTCTTTTTGCTTGTATAGAAAATTCATTACTCAAGAAGATGCTCTCTGTTAGGTCTAGGACCCCTCCATCTGAAAGAACCCACAATATCAGGTGAGCTTAAGTCACTTTCTGGAGTCTATTCAGAAAGTCTATGGAGTCTATGATCACTAGTGCCCAATCTGGCTTCAATAAACACAGTAAGTTTCAGCACATGCCAGTCATCCTTGTGAATATTCCTAACCCAAGAACCCACCACAGACCTTGCTGCCCATGGCTACAAGCCACTCTCCCTGGTTTTATGCATCACAATAAGCTCTGTTGACCACCTGCTGCAGTTTAAATATTCACAAGGGTAACAGGCACATCAGAACTCACCATGGCCACTGAGACCCATGTTACTTTTTATTGTTAAGAAGGTCATTATGTTCTGTTAAAAACAATGTTGATACTTACATTTTCATCCTCTTTAGAGAATTCAGGGGCATTTTGCTTGTTAAGTGCCATGAACACAGCAAGAACCTCTTTGCCTTGCAGCACGGGAACTGCCAGCATATTGACTGTTGTATAACCAGTTTGTTTATCCAAAAAGTCAGAAAAATGATTGTTCTGAAATATACAGGAGCAGTTCATTAGTTTTTCAAATAGTACTACTACTAGTAATTTATTTGGCACTTTTAATTTGCAACATTTGCTCATGTGACCTCACAGAGGAAGATCATATTTTCTCTCTCTGAGTCAGAGAGAGTGTTTTCCACAAGGTAACGCAATGATATGGTAATCTTTTACATGGTTGTATGTGGATTCACCACCACCAGAAGGAAATGTCAGTCTTGTAACTGACATACATATAGCAGCAACCTTATGGATCACTTCAGTTTGCATTATTTTTGGGTAAGATGGGTCACATGGAAAAGGGCTGAGGTGACTTCCATTGACTCCCAGTGCAGTGAAAGGACCACTTGCCTAAAAGTATACATACATATACCCAAACATACATATGCTTCCTTTATGCAATTTATATACTGGAAAAAATGGTGTTTGTGAATCATCTATAGCCTTCTGCAGTGTGTGAGGGTTAGAGAGTGGGCAAACAGGCACAATTCTGAACTACTCCATTCTAGGTTTATTTGCACATCAACTGATCATCTGCACAGAGCTTCTGTCCCTTCTAAAAGGAGCAGAAGAGAATCTGAACTCAGGCATGCGTGCACCAACAAATGCACAATTTGCCCAACTTGAATCAAAAGGTTGATTTCCATAATATTTCAGTATATACCTGCTCTATGTAGTCCATGTGGAATACTGCTCAAATAAAATACAGAAGCAGGTAAGTCTTGAAAGGCAGAAAAAAGGGACAGTTTGATATATATTAGAATGACCGCTGTTAGCCTTCCACAACATGATGCTTTCCAGATGTTTTAGACTACAGCTAATATCAGCCCCTGCCACCATGGCCAATGGTTGGGCATACAGGAAATATTTGACGGCTGGGGGAAAGTCTGTGGGTTGATGCTATGACCTCTTTACAGTCTATTTGAAGGGTTGTCAAAGGGGTTGTCTTCTACTTTGAAGGTATCTTTCATTTGAGTGGCTGTGCAGTCCAATTCCAGTTGAAAATTAAAAAAAAAAATCAGAAGGAAGAAGTGGGCCTGAAGCTGCCTATCAACCGCACCTAGCACAATAGAATGAACAAGGCACATGTGTCACCTGGCCATAGTCTTCCTCACTATCATGAGATGCAAGGTACAGTATAGTCGTAGTAGTAGTAGTAAGTTGCATTTACAGAATAAATGGGCACATGCAAATATTACACAACTATGTGTCCTCCCGTGTCCTCTCTTTTGGTGATTCACAAGTAGCCACCCTAGTTACCTATCATCAGTCTGTTTACAGAGGCCTCACCTAAATTTTAGCCATCTTACAAAAAAGAGACATTTCGTAAAATAAACTTTCCTCAGAGATGGGACAATTTTAGGGACTGATTGCCCCAAACAGCAAAATGCAATCAGAAAGGAAGTTACAACACGATGGATCCAAGTGACTGATAAAGGCCAAGGTTGTGAAAACAAAGGCAAGTTACTCCTAGTTGCAAACTTGTTCTGATAAGTTTAAAAAGTCCTAAGCTCTTCCTTCCAAATATGATTAGTTAAATGTTGTGGCTGATGGCTACCAATAGCCCAAAGGTGTAGAGACTCTCTTTACTTAAGCCATCAGGCTGGTAGAACTTCTTTTGCACTAACTTTTGAAGATCCTATAAAAATCAGTGAATGTCTCCAGAATAACCCCATCCAAGGTACGCACACGCAAGCACACATACTTTGCCTGACCAACACATACAAACTCTGGAAGAATCCATCAGCCACATTGATAGCTATATCCAGTGTTCAAGCAGAAGGGGAATGGAAAGTGGAGTGGTCTCTTTTTGCATTGGGTCAGACATATTTAGGTCCGTTAAAGAACAGTGGTACAGTTTTGGTCTTCCAGAGAAGTTAAATAGCAAACAATCCCACTGCTCTTCAGGTATGGGTTATATCTTTGTAAAACAATCTTAGTCATTTAGCTGCATTAGTCTCTAACAACGTTACCATCTTTCTTCTTTGCACCTTTCCTCACTGATAATGATACACCTTACTTTTACTGTAGGTTATACAGGGTCATCTTCAGGGGTGAGTGCTATTGCGTGTCTGGAAACATGGCCAACCCCCGGAGCTCTCTGGCTTTGCTGCTCCTCTTTCTTACTTTGCTGCTCCTCTTCCTACGCCTACTCCTTCCCATTTTGCTTGTCCTTGAAATATCTGACTCATGGCAGAAGGAAGGAGTAGGCGTAGCAGGCACCGCTCAACTTACCCTCATCTGGACACCAGAGGAAAGCAAGCAAATGGCCAAGCATGACAACAACAGAAAGGAAGTGGGCCCAATCTCGCATGGAGCGCATTGCAAGCAGCTTGGCCAAGCATCCTGCCACAGGACCCCTAAAATACTCTTGTTATACTCTTATTTGGAGAAACTGTCATGGAAGCATAGAAATCTAACTAACCAAAGAGTCTAAGGATCATCAAGCTGCAAACATGATATCACTTGACTTCTCTAAACATGGTTATTGAATACTTCAATGACTGCGTGAACGAATACGATTGAACAAAGTGTGAATTATGGCAGAGATGAAATGCTTCATACAAATTCACCACCCCATTTGCAGGTGAAGAATCTAGGATGGATGGGATTTTGTTGATTTCAGGATTGGCATATTTTTTCAGGATGTTTTGAGGGGTACTTGCCATTGCTAGGAATCAACATACTTTTGTTTTGTTAAATTGTGTTTAAATCATATTTTTCTAGCTGTCTTTAACAGTGATGGCAGAATTATTTCTCGTCAGCTACCCCTTCTATCATGCTATAGGTATTCTGGAAGAAAACTGTAGCTTTTGTGAGAAGACTGCTCAGAAGCATCTACTCCAACCAGTAGTAAAAATTCAAACTAAAAAAAGAGAGAGAGAGAGGAACTTGCACAATTTGTTGCCAATGGTAAGCAATCTTTTGAAAAAATTTACCTTCCTAAAATTGTACCCCACTCCCGAATCCAAGTGGATACATTCCTACTTTGGATAATCAGTGTTGTTGTTATTCTTTTCACAAACTGTATTAGATTTATAACATATAACTGCTAACTTCTGCCTGCAGCAATTCATACATTACATTACTTCCTGAATACTACAGAGGAAAGGGCCAAGGATACTTAATCAAGCAATCATCAAACTTCAAGCTGAAAATAAGACATTTACTTTCTTCTATTGTGGAGCAATCCTTTCTTGGAGTGATGAGTCTAATTGCCTTTTCCCTAGACTACATCAGAGGTGGTATGAAGAAGGACTAGCAGATGACACTGTCTACTTGTTCCTTGGCTGTCAGGTGAACAGATGGTAGAAAGAGGACCAGGAGCAATTGCAGCTGGCAACAATGACAGTCATACTTGCTGATTGGGTAAAGTAACATAGTAACACACACTCAAAGGTTGGGTATAGGTTGAATGTGCCTAGTTGTTGAATTGTGAGTTGTTGAAATGTAACTTAATGTCTAGCCTGAACCCAACTGATCTAACAACCCATTGTTACTCGTTGGGCTGTGAACTCTGGGTTATTCATGGTTAACAAACCATGATTTGTTATCATAGCTGGGTTCAGATAACATGATAACTCATGTTGCAGCAAGGACTCACAGTTCAGTGACAACTCACACCAAACTATTGGTGTGAGTTATCTTGTTTGAATTCCATCAGTGACAGCTTCTTACTGAAGGGCATTAGACCTACAGTTGTCACTGGCTTTAGTAATTCTTGAGGTTATTAAAACTTGGTTGATGGTTGCTTGATCTCTGGAAAGGGCATAGCTGGTGTATTAGATAAAGTTAATAAAAATACTCTTGACTACTGCTGCCATATTCATTTCTGGAAACAGGGCTACAGCCAGGGAGAATTTCCAGCCTATTCTGTTGTTTCAGGTAGAGAACGTGAGGTCAACCCTCCTGTTCTAAAAATATGGATGTCCAATCATTATTGCCACTACTCTGGATTAAATTTTAGATGAAAAATGCAGGACCAGCATCAGCAATTGGCATTCCAAGAATGCTGCTCTGGCAAAGTATTCCACTGGTGCTGAAACATCCTGTCAAAGTTCACAGTCAATAGCCTTTCCACTTGCCTGTTCTGCCAGTTTGTGTCATTAACAGCTAGCTATGGGAAGCTGCCCATCATTTTAATAACTCATTTTAATTTCTCATAACTCCCCAAGGAATGTTACATCAGGGCATTGCGGGAAATTTAAAATGGTGGGCATCTCTCAGCCCTCAGCATAGATTTCAGAACAGCTGCTGCTGCCCTCCATTGACACCAGTGAGCCTGGAGGGCAAGGGCTGCCAGAGGGCTCTTTGCTAGGGGAGGTGGCTCAGAGCTGGAGCTGGCCCTGACTGGATATTAGCAGCATGCTAATCACGCTTAGGGCCAAAGCAAATCTTCACGATGCACAGAGGAGCTATGCATTGTTGTGGAACTCGGACAGCCCTAAACTCCTGTCCCCGCTTTTATTTACAAAATTCCACCACTGAATTGGGGTGGGGTTGGGTGGGGTGGGGATAAAAAAAGAAAAGAAAAAAGTCTGCATTGGAGTAGGAAATCTAACATGCACTGAACATGATATCTCTAATGTTTGGTTTAGTTATTATTCTATATGTTTGGGCAATTATTTCCATCAGTTTTATGTGAATATTAGAATATGGGTGACAAGATGGATCCTTATGATAACCCCATGGACAGTCTTCCCCAAACTTGTGCCTTCCAAACACGTTTGAACTGCAACAGGCAGATTTCCAGTCAATATTCCTGCTGGATGAGAATTCTAGGAACTGCAGTCCATATGCCTTTGAAGGCCACCAGGCTGGAGAAGGCTGGCATAGGATATAACTCTTCTGGAGTAGAACAGAATCTTTCTCACACTTTCTTACCACGTATTTTCTGAAACTACACACTGAAAAAGCTCAAACCACACTGAGGTAGAATCCGAGACCTGTTACTTGATTCCACACACTGTCCAATTTTAACAAACTATTGATGG